CGCCCTTCTGACCAGAAGGAAAGGTTTGGCCTTGCCCAGACAGTCTGCAGTGTCTGCCTGATGTCTTAAGGACAGGGTGGGTCATTTCTAACAACACAATGCCAACCCAATGACATAGCATGCAGCCTCGTAAAGACGAAAGCTGGAGGGAATATCACACTCTCAAGGGAAGGGGTGGAAAAGTGTTTACTAGTCTCTTGTCCATCCAGCCAACCGAGTGCCTGCAAAGTGCCAGATGAAGCTCTAGTCTCACCTCACTGCTGCCAGTGTCTCAACTGGTCTCTCCTTTCCACCCCTCACCTCCCTGCACCAGAACCCTCACACTGTATCAAAATTCCAAACTGAGAATCTTCACAGGGGACAGAAACCTCGTCCCTCCACAGGAAAGGACCACTCTCCAGTCATCCCTGCAGTGAACATGGACATGAGGCTTAGGATTCTGCTGGACTCTGACCAGGACGAGGTGACACAGAGAGGCTGGGACTGTACAGAGCACATTCTGGTAACGATGGCCAAGTGGCAGTGCTGACGTCCACTTGCCAGCTGCAGCAGTGACATAACCTCTTGCTGCAGGGCCCAATGTCCGGCATCAGGTTGTCAGAGGTATGAGCAGTGGCATCTGTCCCTAGAAGCAGGGGCAGGGGCTCCTCTGGGGACCTGACCTAGGGTGGACTGTGCATTCTGTGCCTGGCTGCGTAGCCACAAGCCTGGCTTCCTGGCCTTCCTGCCAATAAATTAGCCCCAGTAGCATATATACGACTCTATGTGTAAACCAGAAAAATTTGGCTTCTGTTACTTGCTCCAAGAACTGAGTGAGAAATCAGTGTGGGGAACAGTGTCAGAAAGCAGCATTCATTCCCAGGTGTGATGTGTGCTAAAAAAATAAAATAAAAAAAAAAAAAAAAAGAAAGCAGCATTCAGAGATTTTTTTTATGCACAGCTGAGAGCCAATTCTGGAATCTTCTACTTGGCCCTACCCTCACAAGAGAACATTGCGAATCTCCCAACATCATGTTTAATAATTAATGACATATGTTCTCCCTTTTCTTCCTGAGGGAAAAGAGGACATTTAAGTGGGCGTAAGATGCACCCTGGGCACTCTCTGGTCACTGGCCTCAGCTCCAGTCGGGCTGGGCACCGGGCTTGCTGGTGGTGCTTGGACAACACTCAGGCCTCTCCCATAGCGTCCGCTAAGAGCGTCATGTGCAAGAGCAAGGACTGGCGTGTTTACCAAGCCCTGCAGGGGCCTGAGCGCACACGTGTGGATCCTGCTCTGTGTTCTTGCTGCAGATGCATGACCTGAAGAACAGCAGCATCTCCACCCTTCTCACAAACACGGGACACTCCCGACTTCCTGAGTCTCAGCGCCACGTCCAGGGGACTCCGGCACATGGTACAGTCTGGGACTCCCTGGTCTTGGCGCCTTTGGAACGTGGTGTGGGACTGCGCAGTCTGCTCTGGGCGTGTGGTCGGATCAGATCCTCAGCACTGGAGGCCCAGGGCTCAGTCCTTGTTCCCTTCTTCTTCTGTAGCCAGTCACTCCCTTGGTGACCTCGTCCATGCTCGAGGCTTTATTTATTTAATTTTTTGAGACAGAGTCTCACTCTGTTGCCCGGGCTAGAGTGCCCTGGCGTCAGCCTAGCTCACAGCAACCTCCAACTCCTGGGCTCAACCGATCCTCCTGCCTCAGCCTCCGGAGTAGCTAGTACTACAGGCATGTGTCACCATTCCATGCTAATTTTTTCTATATATACTTTTAGTTGGCCAATTAATTTCTTCTTCTTTTTTTTTTTTTATTAACGACAGGAGTCTTACACCTGCTCAACTGATTTCCAACTCATGACATTGAGCAATCCTCCTACCTTGGCCTCCCAGAGTGCAGGGATTACAGGCCTGAGTGGCCTGAGTTCCGCTTCAAGTCTTTAAATATCAATTACACGGTGTAAATGATACACCCCCAAATTTAGTACACCCCCAAATCTACGCCTCCAGCTCAGACATTTCTCCTAAAGTCCAGACTTGTCGTCCAGCTGCCACCCCGTCCATCCCCTGCACCCCTAGTGGCGTCTCCTGCACTGAAAGCCCCCGACGCCCCCTCCTCAAACCCGCCCCTCCGCAGTGGTCCCATCTCCAGGACTGCAGCTCTGTCCTTCCGCTCGCACAGCCCACACCGCGGGTCCTCCCCGGCTCCTCCTCTCACACCCCAGATGCATCAGGAGACGCTGTGAAGTCACCTTCAACCTGCACCCAGAGCCCAGCTCGTCCCTCTGTCCCCACTGCTCCGCCGCCACCTGCAGCCGGACCCCGCGCTCCTCCCGCCTCTCGGCTCTGCTCTCAGCGAGGCAGGCACAGGTCCTTTAGAAAGGGAGGCTGTGCCATGTCCCGTTCTGCTCACAGCTGTCCTCTGAGTCCACATCTCACTGGGAGCAAAGTTCAGACCCTTCCCACACCCTCAGGCCACCTGCTCCAGCCCCCTCTGACCTCCCCTCAGCGGCTCCAGGTGCTGCCTCCCTGCCTCCTCGCTCCGCCCACAGCGCGGAGGCCTCCTGCCCCAGTGCGCCTGCGCGCAAGCGCCCTCTGCCTGGGAAGATCTTCCCTGGCGTCCTGGCAGATCCTTTCAGATCTTTCCTCAGAGCAGGGACCCTCCCTGTTTGCCTCCTTTGCAACAAGGGCCACGCCGACCCCCCCAGTGCCATAGCCACCTTCCCCGTCCCCACACCCCTCACTCTGGTCTCCTTCCCCACAGCGCTGACCACCTTCCACAAACCCTTCCTTGTTTGCTCTGCTCCTAGAACAGTCTGTCTCTTCCCACTGAACACGCTGCACATGGCCAGGAATGTTTCCGTTTTTACTCCAACCACGTTCCTCACATGCAGGACCAGCCTGTCATGAATCTGGCAGACAAAGGACAGTTGAATGAACGATCACTGTAGAGCACCCCAGTATTCAAGACACAGGATCTTTACTCATGTAGCCTCAGGGCAAGTGCCCGTTTTTGTGGAAGACACAGCAGTGTCCTGTCATACTGACATCAATTCCACCTGGGCTTTCCTCACCTGTGCTGTTCTGTCTGCCCTCCCACTCCAACCCTCCCACACAACCTTCCTGCACCCTGCAGCACACAGAGATAGTTCTCCCCTAACAGTAACCATCATCCTTGACTATGGGTCCAATTTCCCACACAAATGTAAATCTAACTTAGAGCCTACTTTATAAATCCATGAGTTTGGATTCGATCCAGTGACAGGATTACTAGAACTAAGGGCAGAGATGGGGATAAATTAGCAGAGGAGACAGAAACCTAAAAGGAATTCATGTAAGATAAGAAATGGTGGGATCTGTCCTCTCTGCTAATTCCAGAATTGGATTCCTTTAAAAAGGTAGGGTGCAGAACAAGCGCAGTGGCTCCCGACTGTAATCGTAACACTCGGGGAGGCTGAGGAGGGAGGAATGCTTGAGGTCAGGAGTTCCAAACCAGCCTGAGCAAGAGCCAGACCTCGTCTTTACTAAAAATAGAAACACGAAAAATATACAGAAAAAATTAGCTGGTCATGGTGGCGGCATGCCTGTAGTCCCAGCTACTCGGGAGGCTGAGGCAGAAGGATCACTTAAGCGCAGGAGTTTGAGGTTGCTGTGAGCTGGGCTGATGCCACAGCACTCTATCCGAGGCAACAGAGTGAGACTCTGCCTACAAAAAAAAAAAAAGTTGGCTGCAGCAATACCAATGGAACTGGAGGACGCTATGTCAAGAGAAATAAACCAGGCACAGACAGACAGATATGGCGTGTCTCTCTCACATGTGGGAGCTAAAAACACTAACCTCACAGAAGTAGTGAATAGAGTGGTGGTTACCGGATGTTGGCATGGGTATAAAAATACTTTGATAGAAGGAATAAGATCTAGTGTTCGGTAGGACAATAGGGTGTTTGTAGTTAACAATAATTTACTGTATATTTCAAACTAGAAGACAAGATTACCTTGCCAACACAGAGAAATGAGAAACGTTTGAGGTGAGGGACACTCTAATTACCCAGATTTGATCATTACACATTGTATGCTTGTACCGAAATATCACATGTACCCCATAATATAAACAATTATAATGTATCCATAAAAATTAAAAATAAAGGAATAAAAAGGTTGGAAAACAAAATCCAGGAGAGAGCCCCAGAAAAAGGGCAAGAACTTGCTGGGTCTGAAAGTTCATCTTTTGACACCACAGAGACTCCCCTGTGCAGGGGCTGCCCTGGGGGTGTCTCAGCCTCTGTCATCACAAGGTTCTACTGGGACAAGGAAAACAGAGCAGAGAGTCAGACAAAGCCAAGGAGTGACACATACAGCCCGTGATGGACTGAGCACTGAGTGGGCACAAGCCCCGTCCACACCCGGCTCCTCACAGCCTTCCCTGCCCCTACCTGCAGCAGACTCAGCACAGCAAACACAAGGATTCTGGAATGTTCTCAGGTCTTCCATTTATTCCCACTCTCAAATTTTAGGAAACTTCTTGTTCCATTAACCTGTTGGGCCGCAGAAATGTACAGCCCGTGTGGGGGAGAGACGACTGCCTAAAAAAAGACTCAGAGTCCAGAGACTTGATGCAAAAGCATGAGGTTTTATTTCCAGCGCAGCGCAGGGGCAAGTGAGCTAGGGAAGCTGCCGCGCCGGCCTTTTTTTCTTAGGATTTTTATAGGCAGAAACCACATGCAGGTGGCTAGGGATCACAGGGTGGGGGGAAATTCCATGGGCTTTGACCTTGCACAAACATGTACCAGATGAGCTAATATCGGGAACTTCTAATCTTGGTCAATAAACTCCAAGGACTAACGGCAAGCGGTTTTCGGGGAGTTACAGAGTGGCGCTGGCGCCAGCGGGGGAGGGAATAGGGTTGAGCGAGCGGAGGGACGCCAGCAGGGGAAGGGAGTAGGGTTGAGCGAGCGGATTTTACAGAAGCAGAATGGCAGGTTAGATTTTTCTCCACAAACCCATCAACCTCTCATTTCAAGAATTTGAAAAAAAAGTAGACCCGGAATCCAGCAGTCTGCAGAGTAACTGTCAACATGTGGGTGCAGGGTGAGCTAAGCCTGGGTAACAGGGTGAGCCTGTTAGCCAGTTATTGATATGAAGGACACAGGGCCAGACTGGCCTCCCCACCCCATCACATAATGCTGACAGAGTCGCAGAGTCATCAGGTGCCTTTGCACACAGAGAAGTCAGAGGCTCCCATGCCACACAGGGGAGGCGGGAACAAACCACGCATCACTCAGTCCCACACAGGTAGCGGTGGTACTCTGTAGAAAACAATAATCAGGGAGAAATTCAGGTCAGTCATGATAAGGGTGACACTAGGAACAGCACGCCACAGTCAACATGTCCCAATCACAGAATCCACACAGCCCAGCTCTGTCCCCGCTGCCCCAGCCCCTCCCATCAGGCCCCCAGGCTCTCACCTTTACAAGCCTTGATAAACATATCTGAGCCCTGGGCACTGTCCTGGGCACTGTCGCTGCCTGGGGTAGAACAGAACAGGACCTGGTCAGAGCCCACAGGAGAGGTGGCTACACGAGGATTATGGGGTGGGGAGCTCCCCCATGGGCTCCTGTCTACACTGTCTCAAAGGTCTCAGGGATAAGGCCCCCATACTTACAGGCAGCCTGAGCGTAGCTCCCTCCTTTTCCACCTGTGGGAAGAAAATGTCCTGTGAGAGGCCAGAGAGGAGGCAGGGCCATGAGGTCCTAGAAGATCCCCCTAGTCTTTGAGCCCACAGAAGGTTCCAGAACTGTGACTGATGATGGAGGACAAGATTAAGAAACACGAGGGAAGGAGGAACTGGAGCAACTGCCCTCCTGGAGGTCTGTCCTTAGCAGGCACCTGTCCCTGTGACCTGTGACTACTGGGGATTCAGGTCACTATTCCCACAATCATCAAGGTGATGGGTTTGTTCTGCACATTCCATGTCCTTTCCAATAGTCCAATTGTCAGCAAAGAGGGCCCTGAATGAGGCAGGGCACACTTCTGCCTGGGCATGAAACCCCAAGTGGGACAAGAAAGCCCCAAACCCTCCCCCATCCCTTCCTACCTGAGCTCTTCTTCCTCCACATCACAGCGGCGACCACAGCCCCAATGAGCACAGCTCCAAGGACAACCAGGCCAGCAACGATGCCCACCATGGGGATGCTGGGCTGGGAAGGCGGCTCTGGGAAAGGACGGGAAGGTGAGGGGCCTGAGCCAGGCTCAGCCCTGACCCTGCTCAAGGGCTCCAGAAGGGCCCTGCTTTCCCTGAGAAGAGACGA